CCCCCTCCCCCTTTTTTTTTTTCTTTCTTTTTTTCTGCCCTGCCACCCTGTTTAACTAACCTGCTTCCTCTTGCCTCCTTCAGAGCTTACCACTGGATGATAAACCAGATCAAGTGTCTTGGACTGAAATGGGACAGGGTACCAATGAAGGAAAGCGAAGAAGAGAGCTGGAAGCAGCTTGGTTTTCTCCAAGCCCGTTGAGGCTGCTGAGCAAAGAGCCCTGAGCTTTGCCTGAGATGCATTTAAAGAAAAACCAAAGACTTTCATAAAGGACTTCTAGCAGAGCACCCACGTGTTGAGTGGGACAGCTTTGCGAACGACTATCTTCTATTTATGAGACTCAAGGAAGATTCAACACTGACTGGTGGTGTTAAACAATTTAAATTATTTGTAGTATCTATATTTGTATTTATTTTGATGAATGTCTTTCAGCAGTTACTGGTCTTAATATTGCTTTTGCATTAATATGTCCATTCCAAATAAATTACTTGAAATGTTCATTTTTTATTACTATACTCTAGGCTGCAGTAACTTTTGTTGACGAGTCTGTGGAGTGGGCAGTGGTGTAGTGGCTTATACAGAGTGGGTGAGCTCTGCTTTTGGTGCCCTGGACGAGGCAGTGGGAGGTAGAGAAAGCCCAGATAACCCATTTGTGTTTGACCTTGTCTGCTGACCAGGGAGGGAAAGTGTGCTGAGGTCTAATTCTGGTTAGTGGTGGAAATAGAAGCGCCTGCCACAACTTGAGTAAGTGCCGCTTTTGAAGTGCTTTCCCATATAATCAGTAACGGTGGGTGCAGAAGACACGAGCTCCCTGTGACAGTACAATGCTGCTGTCTGCTAATGCCTGCATCCTCCCTTGGTCCCCGTAGCTTAGTGCTGTGCTAAGGCAGAAAACTGGATTCTTGATTTTTTTGGAATACCACGGAGCCGATGCTCCACGGGATTGCTCGGCTTTCCAACAAAGCAAGCTGAACTCTTCACCCTCTTCTTTCCTCCACCTCTGCAGTCTCTATATTGAGTTACGTTTCTACAGAATAACTGGGAAGTACAGAGACCATCCTTTTTCTGATAGCGCCTGGACCAAGAAGCTTGGAGACAAAAGCAGCCAATTTTTTTGTGATAAAACTACTAAAGCTTTATCTTGTGAGGCTCAATTATTGCTAACTATCCTGGGCTTTCTCAAGAGTGATGCTGCAGTGCATGAGTTGGCAGTCAGGACTACAAGCTTAGGAGGCAAAGTGCTCACTATTAATGCTATATTCGGTGACTTCAATAATGTGATTCCCCCTTCCAATATCAGTGAAATTCTCACAGGAGACTTCATACTAGAGGAAGTTGCAAAGCATGTAATTACAAACAGCCTGTAGTAAGAGCAGGAGAGAGTACAGGGGGAAAACCCTGGCAGGAGGGTTGTCCCCGTTTCTGGAAGCAGCAGGGAGACCGTGGCACTGCAGTGTGCTACTCAGGGGATTTGCACCCTCCTTGTGGGCTGCTGGCAGCTGTGCTGCCGCCCGCCGGGCTCGTGCAGAGACAAGGCTGCACATGACTGAGCTGTGGATGTAGCAAATGTTTGGTCCCAGCATTCAAATGCCTTGAGCACAGGAATGCAGCAAAATGACGCTCAAAAGCAGATGGAGTTTGCCCCTATTTGCCTTTGTACCATTGCAGGGGGGCGACATTAAAGGCCAGAGAAAACGCACTGGCTCCTAATCCCCTTAGTTTCAGTGAATCCAACCAGGAATGCTGACTGACAACAGCTGAGGATCTGGAGCTGGTGCCTGCAATGACAACCACTGCTGTGGAGGGGAACACGATAGCTCCCAGGGTCCTGCAGTTGCCAGCTGCTCCAGCACAGTTCCAAGGCCTTTGCAAACTGATCTGTCCCTTACTCTAGATGTAAATGTTGATGAAAGGCAAGGTATTGTTAAAATGGTTTTATTCCAGGTTTACAGAATAAAAAATAAAACTCAAGAACACCTTTATTTCTATGGAAACCATAAGGGGGTTGCTTCCTGGCGATTGAATTACTGGCTTCTCAGCTTCTTCAAGGGGGTTTTACTCTTTAAGAGGTAAACAAACAAACCTATGTTGACAATTAACTGTAAATAGCCAAAGGAAGAGACTCCGAATTGTTTGTATAAAACACCACCGATGGTTGGGCCCACTGTCTGGGTCAAGGGCTGCACCGAGGCACAGATCCCAAGCATGGTACCTAGGAGAGATGGCAGAGACACACAGACAGACGTCAGGGGGAGGGCAGGTCTTGGGATGGAAAAGCAGAGAAGAGTGTGTGGGATCCCCTTCATTCCTGATAGTGTTCCCCTGCGGGAATAGCAAGTAACATCGAATAATCTCTTGCGTTAATTTATAGAGGTCCAATTAGGAATTGTTAAGGCCAAGGACTCCTGAAGGCACAAGGACCAGTTTCTACCACGAGCCAGCTCAGCTTTTTACTGAGTGGCCTGGACGACAACCGCTGCCTGAAACGCAAACCAGTGCTCACTGCTGCCTTCACCAGGGCCCGAGGATGTCTTTGGACCCAGAAGATGCTTCTGAGCATTACATGCAACAGAACTGGTGACTACTGCATGGGTTAAGGGATGGTGAGGTAATTTCTAGTGTCATATTTGAGACTTCCAAGCAAATCACACAGACTCTTCCACTATCATGATTACTCAAGAGGACCCTGTCCCATCCAAGTTGCTATTGCCATTTATTCTCTAGTGTAGGACAGAGCAACAGCTCTCCAGGGCTTATCAGGAGCGAGAAACTTAGGTCTAACAAGATCTTTAAGAATAAATAAATAAAACCACAGGTAAAGGTTGAACCCCCTTGAGATACATCACCAGTCTCTTGCAAAGAAGAGTGGATATTTCAATTTGGATGGAAATGTGAGCCTTTCACCCGGCTGGGCTGGTTCCCCCTCCAGCAGATCTCCCATTTGCATTGTTAACAGGAACCCAGCAGATGGGAAAGCACCTCCAGTTTGGCAACAGTAGGATTTTTCCATGTGCAGACAGATGGCCAGGACTTCCCACAGGGCGCAGAGAAGGTCCCCATGCACCCAGCATGCTCTTTCCCCTGCAGTCTCCATGCAGCATGGCTATCACTCAGGGGAGTAGAAAATACCTGGCAGACCAGAAAACCATTGGCCCCCAACAACTGGAAGAAAGGGCAGGCTGGCAGCATATGTGGCCTTGCTCTGAAATGATGTTTGCAATTATTTTTTCTTTTAATATCAGTGCCATTATTTGGGCTGTTGGCATGAATTTTCCACCAAGAGATGTTGAGGCACTGTAGATGCAGAAGGCCAGCAGTGTCTGGGGAGGATGAGGATGCCATCCCATGTGTAAGAACATGTGGAGCCAAGTGCAATATTTAACATGGGCAGCCATGGGGAAACGATCCTTTGCTCTGAGGGAGAAGAGGCAGCCAGGGTCCACGTGAGGCTGGCCAGAGCCTGCTGGGCTTTTATCAGCATGCTTAAAATACTTGTGCAATGAGCCCCAGCCGAGGGCGTAGCCAAGCAGAGAGGGAAATCTCCCAGGAAGTGCTGCTGAGCGCTCCTCCCGCGCATGGGAACACAAAGGCGATGGGTGGGACCTCGCTTTGACGCTTTGCCAATGGGAACCATCCCACAACCACCAAACTTTCGGGGCAGGTTTTGCAATTATTTTTTCCCTTCAAGGTATTCGAATTAGACTAATCACTATGTACAATTGCCAACCTGGCTGCTCTTATGATTGAGGAGGTTCTTTTTTTTCCTTTCCCTTCCTTTTTTTTTTTTTTTTCCTGGAGCAGAAATCCATCCTCTTAAAAGGCCAAGCTCTCCCTCACACTTCTCCAACTTGTTGCTGAGGAGGATAATTTCTATTAATGGGCTTAAATTAGATCTCTTGTGTCAGACACCCTTGAACTTTGGGACACTGTAAATCTTGGCTCTGCAGCACAGCACTAGCTCTGTTTCAAACCTGTGCATGTGGTGGATCTCATATAAGGCAAGATGTTGAACTGGGACAAGTCACCGTATCAGCAGAAAAATTCCAGCATCACTTCTGCAGCTCTGCCAATGCACATGCTCACCTTTTTCATCAAGGCTATCCCACTTTCTGAACCTTCCCTGCTCTTCTTACCTCCCTCCCTAGCATTTTTTCCCCTTCTTCCCATATGTGGCATGATCCATCCTGGTTGTGCGCCCATCCTCCCCTCCTGCCCCAGCCCTGCTCTCCTCCCACAGGTTTCTGGGTTGGGTGCTGACAGCTTCCCAAGCCTGGTGGCTCCATCCCTCCTCCAATCCTCCACCGTGCCAGGGCACCCCGGCTCGCCCTCCTTTCCAGCTCACATCCTGTTGCCGCACTCAGATGATGGTGCTGGCCCAGATCAGCCCTGTGCCCACGGGGCAATCACAGGGCCTAATTTAACAATTAGATCATCCCTGCCAGCGGACGCCTTCAAACCAGTGAAGCCCAAGCAAAGCTGGGGATTTCAGTGTGCCCAGCCCTGCCCAGCTGCAAGATTTCCTCCCAAGGCTTCATGTCTGATGTGCAAATAAAATCACAGAATGTGGGCCCGTTACACAGGAAGGCTCTGCTGGGCTTCCTCCCTCTCTCCTTCCCTCCCCCAAGGGTGGTAGAGCCCTGTATAGAAACAGGACCTCCATTCTCAGGGTGAGACTAGGGTTGACAAGGAGTGCTTGTGCAGATGCAAGTCCCTCTCAGCTCAGGGCTGCCTTCCCACCAGCTCATGCACCCAGCTGAACAGCACATGCATGTGAGGCAGACTTTTCCCTTCCTGCCTTTGAAGATGAGAAGAGGAAAAAAAAAAAAGAAATCAATGGAAACCAAATAAATTAATTTCCACTCTGTTCCCTTCAGTGCAAAGACCCAGCCATAAGCAATGAGCAAGTGGGAAACTCATCAGCCTCGGTAGGAAATGACCTTGGATCGGTCCTGAAAGCAGGATGGTGGGAGAAAGAGATGCTATCCTACATCCCACTGTTTCCTTTCTAAGACACCTATTTAAAAGGCAAGGACAAATGACTCAGTGTCTAGCAAGGACAGACAGGTTATCCTCCTGCAACGCCCCATCTGTTCCAGCTCCACAATGAGATGGACACCTGAGCTCGGCCCAACCTCCAGTTCCTCAGAAAGCCTCTCCCTGGCCCAAAGAAAAACCTCCATGGCTCTGCCATCCCCAGCCTGGCAAAAGCAACAGGGAAAGACAGCAGCAAGGCTCTAAAGTGCTGTTTCCAAACGTAAATTCCCAATGTATGAATTCCTTGCATTAACTGAAAGCCGATGCAAGCCAGCGCTCAGGTTTTTGACGTGGCAACCGCGAGGCTTTCCCATAAAGCCAGGTTTCCATGCTCTTAGGCAAGTGGGGATTTCTAACACACCACCAAAATGCTCGCTTTGCAGCGCTTGTCTTGGGCTCGCAGAGGAAGGCTCAGCCCTTTAGCTGCCTTGCGGGTGGAGCAGCCACTGGGGGTGCCACCCACGGCCACAGACAGATGGCAAGCATTTTAATAGCCGCATTTCTCTGCGAGACACCCACGCCGCCGCAGCTGCTGCGGGGAGGCAGCTCGCTGGGACGCAGCTCTGCTGTGTCAGGCATTCTTGCCTTCACCCCGGCCCCTCTCCGGGTGCCTCCAAAACAAGCACAAAACCATCACTCCAAAACACTGCAAGGAGGAAGCAGGGTTTGAAAGGCAAGGGCCAGGGAGGAGCAGTGGAGACCAGGTTTCCCCTGGTTCCTCTCCTCAGCGTGCCCAGTTTCAAGGCAGCTGTCACTCTGCAGTTTGTAGTAGCACTTGGCATGGCATCAGCCCAGGATGGACAAGCAGGAGAAAGCCCCAGATAGTCCATGGCTCTCCCTATGTCCCATGACCCCTCCTGACCACCTGTGCTGGCCTGTTGGGTGCCTGTCCTACCCTGCCATGTGGAGAACAAATGTCCTGCTGAGACACAGGCTGACCCAACAACATACGCAAGCGGGGAGCAGGGTGAGGCAACTAAACCCATTTTTCTCTCTGACCGAAGCTTGCCTCTGGGTTTTAAGAGCCAAGCAATGCTCTGGTTTTCCTCACAAAGCCCCTTTGAGAAGAGCCTGGATAAATTCCAGCTCAGCTGTATGTCCCAGAGCTGCTTGGTGCCCTTCCCCCCAGCTCTCTCCTTGTATGAATATTGCTCCAACTCATGAAACAGCAGGTTTTCTTCCCATCCAAGTGAAGGGACTGGGATCATCTCCAGTCCTCACTTCCTTGCAAACTAAATGGTATACCCAGGTAGAAGTATACCTTGGAAATCACGGGCTCCCAGAATTTGTAGGAGATATGTTGGTCTGGTCTACAAATAAACTACTGAAGTGACATTTAGAAAACCTCTTCATCCAGGAATATCTCAATAAGGCTTTGTAAACTTCACTAATGGTCTGTTCAAACTATAATTCCCATTCTTGGTAAACTCTGTGCAGTGGTATCAGCTGCTAGGAAAAATGAAGGGTACAGGATGCAACTTAGAAAGGCTCAGCTGGAGCAGAGAAACTCTTGTGTACCTGGTGAATGTGGCCTGGGGATCAAACCCTGACGGAACTTAAGCAAAATACATCAAACCAGGTTAACTCTGCTCCATCCTGGGACAAACTCAGCAAGCCTCCCATGACAATAACATAGGCATATTTCCTTTGTTGACAGAAGAAAAAAAACCCAACAACAATCAGGTATCAAGATTTGTGTGTCTGCTGCTGCATTTCAGTCCCCTTGTACAGAGAAATACAGGAGCTCTTCAACTGAAACACAGCCAAATGCAGGGGGCAATTACTTGATAGGGCAAAACATTTTTCCAAAGAGTGATCCAGATTACCCTCCTGAGATGCTCTAAGTTAAAAGGTGTGAATGACAGCCCCTTCAGCCACCCTCACAGTGGAAAAGCAGATTTCTTTTTTTTTTTTCTTGAACATATTTTGGGTACCGTGAGTTTGGGAGAGGCTTCTCTTGCTGCATCCTGCACTCTGAGTGTCGGCAGGAAGCACAGGACTGGGTGCACTGGGTCGCAGGATGCTTGCTCAGTGTTGTTTAAGCTCATTCTGTATTAGCCTCACTGGTCCCTGTTCATCCATCCTGCAGACACCCACTGCACACAACTGCCAAGACAGATTTGATGGGGAATTGGGCAGTCACCATGAATGTGCCCCTGCTCTTGATAGCAATGCCATGAGCTGGGAAGCACCTGATGGAGTCAAAACCAAGAAAAAGCCAATCAGATCTTTACTGATGAGTCTTACCTGTGTCAGATGAGGGGACAGCCTTGGTGAGGATGCTGTCAGTGATGGTGGCCAGCATGCTGAAGGCAAACACCAGCGGCAGGGCAACAATGCAGTAGTGCCACACAGTCCTCATCAGGGCCTACGGGACAGGAAAAAATGGACCACGGATCATTTGAGAGCACAAGTGGTGACTTAGTGGCAAGGAACAACCTAGAAAAACATCACAAGCCAAACCCATGGCTTAGGTAAATTATGGGATCCACAATTGATACATGATGATGTGGCTTTGGCCACTGCAGGGTCTTTCATAGCCCACAATTTTTCTGCAGCAAATTATTCCAAGTATGCAGTGCAAGCAGCAAATGATACCCCACAGTCTGGCAGCACGTTTCTCCAGCACTGCTGCGGGTATTTTTAGTGTCTGGGAATTAGTGACATCCCCACACCCTTCCCCCCGTCTTCAGTCTCTTGTCCAACTCCTGAGGAAATATTGAGCAGCAGATGCATGTGGTGTACTTCAGGAAGCCTCCATTACTTATACAAAACAGCCTAGAGAAGGCATTTCAGTTCATTATCATAAATAATTAAAACTAAACTAAGCTTGTCAGAATAAATGAGCACGGCACATTATGTAACACGGTACCTTTGGGATTTCTAATCCTGTTCTGCTGCTTCCTTGCTAATAAATTCACCAAATTTAGTAATGTGGAATAGGTCTTCTGGCCATAAGTGCACATTAGCGAGCATAATTAGGGAGAGTAATGATTTTGTTATTGCACATATTCTTAGTGGAGACATCCCTGCAGCTGTTTAATACTGAAACAAAAGCGGTGAAGCTCCCTAAGCCGTGGGGCTGGAGCAGCTCTCAGCTCATTCACAAGCTCTGCTGGTCAAATGAACGGATTTCTCTGGGGCATGGAAAGGAAATTCCCCCTTTCTTGCAAGACTCCTGCCCTCACCCACATCTCAAGGTGTGTTATTGTGGCTGGAAAAAATCTCTGTCACTGGTTTAGCCAGAAGTTTCTTTCTCTGGAGTTCTGTCTCCCAAGATCTGGTTCCTGCCTCTTGGCTACAGAAGATGGAGAAGCCCAGAGACATTGCTCACTAATGACTTGGAAATACTGAGGTTTACTCCTAGTTTCCCTCTAGACTCACAAATGGCCAGGTTTTTCTCCTCTGAGGGGCTCTTTGCCTACGTTTTGGTTAAGATCTAGGTACTTACGATTAAGGAACCAGAGAACAAAGACAGAGGAACAGGTCTTTGGCACATAAACATTCAGACAGAGGGAGAATAATTCCTTGCTAGGGCAAATGTCATTGCAGGACAACATTGCAGAGCGCATAGGAAAAATCAGGTTTAACCCTCTCCTGCCTCATACAAATTTCCTAATGGGCTGAAGGAAGTAGGCAGAAAAGAGCTGAGCCATCCCTGTGCCTCTTGTGGCTTCTTGCTCCCTTGGGACTTGAAAAGACCCGAGCCAGAAAGAGCCCAATTTCTGGTACTCCTCAGCTGTTGGGTAGGTTGCAGTCTTCTTGACCTGAGCAGATCTGAAAGCTGTTCTCAGGCTAGAGAGGCAGAGCCAGGAGATTCAGCAGACAGGCTCAAAAAACAAGCGCCTGGGAAAGGCAGGCAGTGAGGCAGGACAAGGCACAGCTGTGCCTTCAGACAAAGGGAAAAACTTCCCCATCGCAACCGCCAAGCCCTCCTACACTCTGCCCACTCACTTCCAGCTTGCATCTGCAGATCAGACACCAGCTCTCCCCTCCTCTCCTTTTCCAGGTGTTAATGCTCAGCTCCCAGCGTACCTCTTCCCTTCTCCAGCTGCCAATTGCTGGGAATATCCGGCAACCTCTTCCCAACTGAACTGTTCTCTGTCTGTCTGCTGTTGCCGGTGCCTGCCTTCCAAAAACCCTTCAGCCCACCTCTCAGCAATATAAAGATGGGTTTCAGAGTGTCTTTTACTAACAGCTATCTTTTCTGCTTATTTGAATCCTTTGGGAAGGGGATCTGCTTCGTTTGGAGGCCAGATGCAGCAGGGGCAGAGTGGGTGGTGGGATGCTCCTTCACTGGTGTCTGTGCAGGATTAAAAAATTAATGCATTAATCTCTGCATTTGGGGCCTGCTGCTGGGATGTACTCATCTCCGCCAAGATGGAAGGCCACCTCAGAAACGGATGTTTTCTCAGCAGCCACTCAAACAGAGTGCTTTTTCAACAAGGCGTTCCTGGTGAAGACGATTGCAGCTGCATTTGCCTATGAATAGTTCTCGTGGGAAGTCGTTGCTGACCCTTGTCCCCAGGCCTGTGCTGTCAGGATGTCCATAGCCCTCCGGGCTTGGTGTAATTTCCAATTCTAAAATAATTTCCCTTCCTGCCTCCCTTCCCCCTAGCATAGCTGGTGGCACTAGCCACTGCAGGCTGTGCTGCCCTTTTTGTCCCTCTGCTGCTATTGAGGCTTTATCTCCTAGCTCCAGCTCCCTCCAGCCTTCCCTTTCAGTGAGACCTCCATGCATAAAACCCATTTACTCTATGTTGCCCCACTGCTTGATTCCCATGGGGCTGGGCTTTGGCACAGGGAGCCAGTCCCAGTGGCATCCTGCTTCAAATGGTCCAGGTCCACCTTGGTCCCACCCAATTTCTCCCACCCATGACCAAAAAAAAAGGTGAGACCTTCAAAGCCCTTACTGGGCCATGCTCAGGAGCACGAAGCCCTGTGCAGATGTCCCATGCTAAGGTGGCACATCAGTGTCAGCCAAAAACATGGGACACCAGCTGGAGGGATCCTTCCTGAGCATCTGACCACCCAGAAGCACCTCCATGAGCCATGAAGTCCCAGAGAGGGGAGGACCATGCTCCATATGCAGAACTAACCCTTCATTTATGTTCATCTTCTCTTTCCAGTCTCATTTCGGACCAGTAATTTAGCCTCAGATTGGCAGGTATCTCATCTCATCTGTGTAACTGGGAACCATGAGTCTCAATTCCCTCCAGGATTTGACCCTGACATCCCTATGGCTGTGGTGCAGTTGTGGGAACAGCACCTGTGTTGGCAGGAGCACCACTGCCTCAGCAGCAAGGCTCAAGGCCAAATCCTGCAGGGAATGTCAAAAGGTTGACACAGCTTGACAATCCTTTGGGCCCATGTGCTGATGGGGATGGGTGTGCTCCCGTCTTCCATTCCCACTGCTTGGGCAGAGTTATTGGTTCCCTGGGCATGGCTTATCTGAGCAAACATGGCCACTGACAGAGCTGCCTACGTCAGATCACTTTTCCAATTCCGGTTTGGGATTGGCATCGACTGTCATCCGTGCAGGCACAACCAGCAACAGGTAACATCAGTCATCCCAAAACAAAAGAACAGAATTATTGCCTTGCTACCTCCTTCCCCAAATACTCTCACCTTGGGGAAATGAGGCAATAATAAAGCCCCAGCAGAAGAGCACACAACCTCTGCTTTCAACCGCAATGACTTCCACCCCCCATAATCTTAATTTACTTTCTGGGTAGTTCAGGAAATGCAGTCACTGACAAGACCAAGGGCAGGATTTCTATGCAAATCCAGTGACTCAGGAGGGACTTAACAAGTTTCTGTGTGAGATTTATTTTTTTTTTAATCCCTGTAACTATTACTCACAGGGCTCTTTATCGATATTTGGCGCAGTGCTCACACTGAGCATGGCTCTCTTTGCTCAGAGGCCCAAGAGAGCTGGTTTGCCCCCTCAGAACCACCCAGCAGAGCCAGTGGTAGCATTTCAAGGGCAGAGCTCGCAGCCAGGTCAAGGCACCATGGATGCTTTGACAGCCAGTCTTACCATGCCAACACCCACACCAGCAAAGACAAAGACACTGAGCCTGAGCAGGGTCCTCTCTGTGCAGTGGTTAGTGAGTTTTCCAACAACCAGACCCTGCACAACCTGGGAAGGAAGCAGACAAGCACGATTAAGTCTGATGCACAACAACTTGAACAAGCTCAGAGAAGAATTACTGTAATGTTCAAGCAAATGAAAGACAGCAAATGGGTTATTCCCTTGAGAAAAAGGGGCCTCACTGGTGCAGTAAATGGTTGGAAGACATGATCCGTTATTTTGAGCATTTTGCATCCTCGGGACAGATACATCCTACAGCTGAAAGTCTGTACTCAGCCTGAATTTACCATTACTGCCTACTCACCAGTGGGGACTGAAACTTTCTAAAGACCCTTGTAGATACAAATTAATTTTTCTAATTCATGTAATTTTGGTGAAATACAATTAATACTAAGGTCTTCATTCCTGGCAAGTCCTTCCAAAAAACCCCAGTAAATTCATATGTAGAAGAGGAAAATGCCTCTTTTCCTGTACCTTCTCTTGCTATTATTTTAAACTATAAATATACAAATTGGGTGGTTAATCTTTTTTAGTCAGGAAACAAGTATGACAGAGATGCTAATACCCAGCCCCAGCACTATGCAGAGTTGAAGGATGGGGAACTGGTTTTGCAGATTTTAAATAAAAAGGGAGAGGTGGGGAGGGAAGGAGGAGCAATACAATTTGAATCCTAGGAAGTATTTGGCTTTTCCAGCACTTTTCAGAGCAAAAATTACCTCTTTTATTTCTCCGTTTGGCATCTCCCATAGTTCAAGTGACACTGGCCCAAGTAGACACAAGAGGGCAGAGGTTGGAAGACACCGCTGTGTAAACAAGCCCCAACTGACAGTGTTTCAGGGGAGGGACTGATAGGATCTACCTCGAGTTTTCGCTGCCTTGAAAGGGTTTGTTTGATCCAAGCAAAAACCCCTCCAACTTGAAAGAAGAGATCTAGTTCAAAATGCTTTTTTTTGGCACGATGACTTTGTTTCAATGGCAGCCAATGCTAGAGAAAACCTTGGTACTCTGCTTGCATCTGGAGCAATGCTACAGCAAGTTTAACCTTGCTATGTCATTCCTAAAGATGAAATAGAAGTTCAACTGAAAGGAAATGAGTGTACACTGAATAAGAAAGTTATTAAAAAGAAAAGAAGCATTGATCTATGGCAAGGAGTCCAGAAAAAGCAATTTAGTGATTCAAATAAAAATAAAAAGCAAGAAGTAAATAGCAATAGAGTGACAAAATAAAGTTGACATTATAAAGAATAGCTACATATTTCACAGATTTCCAACAAGCTACAACTTAATAGAAAACATAAAAATTTTACTTTTCTCTTTGCTTCAGAGCACAAGCAATCTTTGACAGAAGGGCACTTCTCACCAAGCAGACGTTTTGGTTCCCACTAAATGCTTTTTCTTCCTCCTTTGTGTCCCCAACCTCACCCTCAGGCAGGGCTTGAGAGCTTTGCTCACATGTGAACAGCTGCCATGTGATGGTGGCACGGGCCATTGTGGCTCTCCTGGCTTGTGTAACCTGTTGAGTTGGCCTCAGGGACACTGGTGGACCTGCTGTGGTGTGATGCTTGGGCAATGCATGGGGTGACCTGAGTCATCCTGGCTGAAAGGCCTTCTGTGGACACAGGAGGAGGCTGATACCAGCCTCAGCAGCTCACTACTTGGGGGGTGGGTGGAGGAGCCACTGAGTAATGCTTCATTAAGCTGAGTGCTTCTAAAAGGAAGAATTGTCATTAGCCTTTTCTGGCTTCCCAGTCCCTCCTGCTGGCTCTCCCCAGCAGGGGCTGTGCTGAGTCACGGCGGCAGGGCCTGAGAGCTGTCAGGGCATGGCTTGACTCAGTGATGGCATCACCCGAGCCCCGTTTGGGCTCTGCTGAGCTACCAAAGGAAAGGAAACGCTTCTCAATCTGCCCAGACTTGAACGGCGTATTTCATCGGGATACACTGTGCAGGTGCAGCCCAGTCCCTGCCCTTCCTTGAGTCACTGGGGTACATCATCAGCAACGTCCCAAGCCAGCCCAGTCTGGTTATCACAGCAGTGGTGCCCCCAGAATGGTGCTGGCCTGATGTGCAAACACCTCAGCGTGGGGAACAGGCACTGCTGCAGCAGAGCCAGCCTCTGAGCAGGCAAGACCTGGAGACAGGCAGAACAGAGGCCACCAGGGCTGTCCCCAGAGCCAGTGGGGTACGGGGACAGCCCTTGTGCCGAGGCTGCCATCCTGAATGTGCTCTCCCATTGCTTGGGCTGCAGCAATACAAAGGCAAGGTAGAATGCCAATGCTGAACCAACCAGCTGGGCAATGGGACTTCTTCCAAGGGCAAGTGTTAGCCCAAGTCACCTGCTGTCCCTCTGGGGCTGAGCAGCCATCCTTGGGTTATACAGATTGCAGCCTCCTCACCGGTTCTCTGAGCTGCTGGACTCCCTCTCCAGTATGGTCATTGCCAGTCCAGCCATAAGCCCTGGGCAGGCAAAGCCCATCATCTTGATTTTGGACCCTGTGAAACACCAGAACCTTGATTTATGCACTGGATAATGTTTCCAGTTGCTAGAAGCTCAAGCCTCACTTCCAGTCTGAATGTAGACCTGAAAACCCATTACTTCCAGCCTGCAATTTTCCCTGGGCACACAGTGCCCTGGTTTGCATGAGCAGCAGCTGCCTGCACAGGGAAGGAGGAAGCTAAATATGGTTCTTGTGCACTCTCCCATGTAAGGCTTTGGATGTCTGCTGCCATTGCAAGGGGACTGCAGGGGCATCCTGGATGACTTGACTGTGACCACTCCCATGGGTAAGCCCTGGTGGCACCAAAGAGGCAACAACAGGATTTGTCCCCATTTTTATGCTGTGGCTTTCTGGGCTTTTCCCTTGCACACAACCTCCACTTGAGCATTACATCCATGGACCTTTCCCTCCTGCATTTCATTTTGCCTGGATGGTGCTTGCCTTTGTAAGCTCAATTCTTCCTTTGAAGTCAGGGAAGAGCCAGTGTACCTGGCTGAAATGCCTTCTGTCATCAATAAACAAAAGAGAGAGGAAATTGTTTGCAAGTGAAATAACAGGCACTGCCCGTGGCTGTGTACACATGTCAGGAAAAACCAACTAATCTCTTTTTTTTCTTTCCCCCTCTCCTTCTTTAAAGGCAAATGAGTCTCCCAATAAATGCATAAGAACAGCCAAATCTCTCCCTGTCGTTATGCTGGGTTCACAAAACTGGGCGTTTGTTCCACTAGTTCAGCTGATCATGTAGAAAAATACTCTCTACCTCTATCACTGTATTTGGTTTCTGTGAAGGCAGCATCTCCCATTTGCTCAGAGGAGCCAATTGTCCATTTTACTGTTCACCTCATTTAAAAATTTCAGAAATGTCTTGCAGGATGGAGCAGATTTTTGCTCTTTGAAGGTTTAAGGTGCTAAATTTTGGAAGACTTTTGAATGTTGAAGAAGGAGCCTTGCTGCACGGAGCTGCTGTTGAGCAGGCCTGACAGCCACAGGGAGCTAACTCCATCAGTGAAGGTGAGGGGAGCTATGGAGATACTCAGCTGGCCCACTGCACTCAGTAGACACAAGACAATTTCTACAGAATCTTCCCCAGCACCAATCAAAAGCCTGACAGAGCCCAGCAACAAAATCATTTCCCTTCCACCCAACAGCCTGGCAATGAAAAGACGTGAGAAGGTTGGAGAGGCAGGCACAGCAAGCCAGATAAGCTGGTACAGCCTAGCAGAGAAGATGCAGGGCCCCATCCCTAGCACAAACAGCGTGATTCAGATCAGAGGCAGCCTCCCACGCGCTGGACCCGTATCTCTTGCCTTTGAAATGATGCCTGGCTGGCAGTTCCCAGGGCAGCACCGTGCCAGCTGGGGTGGGACCTGCGGGTGGGCACCGGTGGGGCAGAACACGGGGGGCAACAAATATCACAGAGCCTTTCTTCCCAGGCTGAAGGTAGCGCAAAAGCTTGGGTGGGGGAGAAGGGAGTTGTTTTACTGACTCGGAGATGCCAGAAAGCGCTTGAGAAGTAGTTCAGGTCTTTCAGAGGAGCAGGAGGGTGGTGAGGCCAAAAGGGGAGCTGATGGTGAGGACTGAAGTGCTGAAGGCAGCATTTTGTCGAACAGGGGGAAGAGGACTGTGTGTTTTGCAAACTCCAGGCTAATCACCTTCTTTCCCACTCCAACCTGCCCCCCTGCACAGACTGAAGTCCTTCAAAGCCAGGAAACTGAGAACTTTCTGTTTGTTGTTGCAAGGTCCTTTCACTGAGTGGGTTTTCCCCCTAGGCATACCTGGCTGTAATTAAATCCCTGGCTCTTTAATCATCTCTTTTGCTGTGCAGGGGAAAAAAAAAAAGCAAGAGGGACAGACTGGTGATAAGATGATACGCAATGTAAATCTCTCCTCCAGGAATCTCTCTCATCTTTTCAGGATCACTCCGTACCAACTTGTCCCTCCAGAAGCTGCACAGCTAGAGGTGGAGTTTGTGTAGCAATACAAATTTAAACGCAGAACAGATGTCTTATGTTTTCTTGATCCTCAGGGTAATAAATACCTACCCCTTTGTCCCACCCAGAGTTTTTGTTTGGTGCATTTTGCTTTGTTTTTTGTTTTTCGGTGTTTTTTTTTCAGAAAAAGTTCTTAAAGAAAAACTTAACCCAGCCTCTCCCACAGTTTGAAAACTAAGCATCAGATGTAACTTTAGATACCAACCAGGGACTCAAGCTATTTTTCTTACCTGATCCCAGTCCAGATCTCTGCCTGTGGAAGTTCTCCATGCTATTGCACTTGCAACTCCAAAAAATGACAGAGCCTAGACCCGCTTTTACCCATTAGGCAAATTAAATTATTTTAAATTATTGTGAAATTATTATCTGAAGGGAGATTGAATGGCATCTCACTCCCAGGCATTCACGCTGAGTGAATTTTCATTCACACAGCTTCTGACATTAGAGGGTTCTGGAAGCTCAGCCCTGGAGGACAGAGGGATTATATTCCTGAGGGGCTCTTGCACCTCTTGCCTGGAGACCCACCAGCGATCAGATAAAGATGCTTCAAACGTAGCTGCCT